TTTGAAACAAAGTTTACCACCTCAAAGTTACTAACATTCAGGAGAAGGAGAGGAGCAAGACTGGTCTCTCTCCTTTAGAAAATGATCGTAAAGTTAGAATAAACTCAAACTCTTATACGTTATTCAAACTTCTGCGCATAAATTGTTTAAACATGTATATAACAAACTGGCCTTTTTTTTGGACGTTCGTTTTGCCCTCTTAGAATCTTGTTTTTAAAGAGTTGTTAAAATAAATGTTCACATAATTATTTATTTATGATATTTCCTGAGTACTAAAACTAACAAACAAACGAATTAAACTCAGTAGATTATAAAGTATTTACAGTATCCCTCGAAAGGTGGCGCCACGAATATAAATGAAAAACATTTACGAAATATTTGCAGTTTTGATAAAGATTTGTTTCAGAATTTTTGTGCAAATCTACACAAGGAGACTAACTGCGCATAACTGTTCCTATTTGAGCTGATAAACCAGAGGGAAGGTATCTAATTAAAAGTTCCCACCGTCAGTTTTTGGGATGCTCTTATCCTTTCGAATAGCGGGATTTGACCGTTACTCTTATGGCGCATGTACGGCACCCAAAATCAAAGCGTGTATTTTGTGGTTACAAATGAATACTGTAATTCTTCTATTTCACAGACAAGGTACGGTGACCACTAGGTCTCGTCTCTCCCATTTATAAAAAAATGGATGTTCGGTAAATATAAGCTTTAGACGTACCATGTATTGCGAAACGGTCTTTACATTTTAATTTCTCCAGTTAAATTTTGAAGATATTTCTTTTGTTACAATAATATTCCAAGTTTGATACTAGAGGGCGCTGTTTGATTAGACCGAAGCAGTAAATAAAACAGCGTTCAACTGTAAATATTTCTCATTTGTTTGTTTGTAGTTATGCACAAAGTTACGCAAAGGACTGTCTGTGCTGTACCCACGTCGAGTATCAAAACCCGGTTTTTAGCGTATAAATCGACAGACTTACCGCTGTGCCACTAGGGGGCTATCTCTCATGTATAAATGTGTCTGTCGTTGTAAACTAAAGATGATACGGATCTACAATAGTTTAATTAATTGTTTTTTGTTGGGATGAAGATGTTTTCTCTCGAACGTCCATAATTATTAGGCCCGGCATGACCAGGTGGTTAGAGGGCGCTCGACTCGCAATCTGCAGGTCGCGGGTTCGAATCCCCGTCACACCAAACATGCTCGCCCTTTCAGCCGTGGGGGTGTTATAATGTGACGACCAATCGCACTATTCGCTGGTAAAAGAGTAGCCCAATAGTTGGCGGTGGGTGGTGATGACTAGCTGCCTTCCCTCTAGTCTTACACTGCTAAATTAGGAACGGCTAGCGCAGATAGCCCTAGTGTAGCTTTGCGTAAAATTCAAAACAAACAAACAAATCCTACTAGTTCAACACCGGTGTTCAGAGATTCTTATCGCACCTGGTGCTACTCTAGCGCTCGAGCACGCTCTGTCAGGAAGCTTGTTATAACCTTTACAGTGTTTAGACACGTGCTCGCCGTCACACGTCGTGGGCACTACTATGACGACGTTTGGTTTAATTTGTATATCCTTCACGATAAACTTGTGCCTATCGCTGCTTATAATTTGTCGAGTCTTTTATTGATTTAATCAGGGGTCTTACGAGAGGGGCAAGAAGGGAATTACTTGATACCAAACGTACAGAAATCAGAAACTCTTCACGCCGCCAGGTGTTACTATTATTGCAGTCCTAGCCACTGGGGGGCCATTGACCTATGCGTATTTATTTTCATTTTGTGCTATAAAGAGGGTCCGTGTTTTAATGAGGGGTGGTCTGGACCCTTCTGGTATCCTAGCGTCAGTAAATCAATAGTTTAATTTAGCGTTAGGTATGTGTAATTTTAGACGATTCCAGAAATCAAACTATTTACGAGTATACTCTTGGACCATTACTAAGTTAGGCCATCATTCTGTCCTCGGGCTCGTGTAGTTTGTTATCAAAGAAGGAAGAAAAGACAAACAAATATTCCGTCTACGTTATAGATACAAGTCAACTCTATCGTCCAACTTACAAAAAAATTCTCTCTGGACATTGTGCACCAGAACTTATCATTCAGAATAACTTTTACAATTATTTTAAGAAGTTTAATTACACTTTTTAATCCCTAACCGCTTATTAAAAATACGTCTGTCAACAAAATCAAAGTTTATTTCGAAGCTATTTGTTATTTTGTTCTTCTTAACCAAAATAAACAGAAGTATGTCACTGGTCATTAGTATAGAAAATTTACTGTTTTGTCAGTCGAAGCCAGATATCCGTTCTGATAAATCTCTGGTCTTTAGTACAGAAAATTTACTGTTTTGTCAGTCGAAACCAGATATCCGTTCTGATAAATCTCTGGTCTTTAGTACAGAAACTTTACTCTGGTGTCAGTCGAAACCAGATATCCGTTCTGAGAAATCTCTGGTCTTTAGTACCGAAACTTTACTGTTTTGTCAGTCGAAGCCAGATATCCGTTCTGATAAATCTCTGGTCTTTAGTACAGAAACTTTACTCTGGTGTCAGTCGAAAACAGATATCCGTTCTGATAAATCTCTGGTCTTTTAGTACAGAAACTTTACTCTGTGTCAGTCGAAACCAGATATTCGTTCTGATAAATCTCTGGTATTTAGTACAGAAACTTTACTCTCGTGTCAGTCGAAACCAGATATCCGTTCTGATAAATCTCTGGTATTTAGTACAGAAACTTTACTCTGGTGTCAGTCGAAGCCAGATATCCGTTCTGATAAATCTCTGGTATTT